GTTATCAGTACTGATACCGATATCAGCGCAAGCGACGGTTGCGGGGGCTGGTCAAATTTTGTCCTTGGCCCGGGTGTACGCGCTCGGGTTCCTTACATTAAACCCGACCTTGTGTCACATCCCGTATCAGTGGGGAGACCAGGGTAAATAATACTTTTTGAGAAACAAGGGTTTCACCAACTCCAAGAAACTAAAACAAAACGAAATAAAACTAGATTCTTCTTCTTCTTCTTCTTCTTCTTCTTCTTCTTCTTCTTCATTTTGTGGGATCAATAATAATGCTGTTTCAAGATTTGGACAATTTTGCTGTTATACCTGGTATATATATTTTAATCGGTATCAACCCAAGCAAGTCCGCTACTAAAACTTTGACATTGCATTTAAATTTTTGGATAAGTAAATTGCAGAGACACCAGACCTTATATGTTCCGACTGAAAGAAAAAGGCAAAGTCAATATTTAGAAAAATACCTTTCTTTTGTTATTTAGTTCATTAGCTAAGGAGGCCTTTTATTTTTAAAAAACCCGGACGACAGTGGGGCCGAGATTGTCAGATGTTGCAATAGGTGAGGAATACAAGCTTAGTCCTGGTTAGATATAGCTTTTCTCTTTCCGTGTGGGAACCATTCTCATCTCGATCATCTCTGAGCAATTCTACCCAAATAAATAGCGTCCTCTTATTTTTGTCCTGCCCGTTCTAATTTAGCCTTACACTGAGTAGAGGCAACGATGAGGAGACGATCTTCACCATTATCTTTAGAGATTCCAAACGACATCTTATCCTCGGTAGGATAGAATCAAGTTTCCCTATTAGCGAGACTACACATCCTAGGCCTGCACCCTTCAATGCACTAGAGAGGGGTGATAGGAACTTATACCGATATCAGCGCAACCAACAGTTGCGGGGCTGGGCAATTTTTGTCCTTGGCCCGGGTGTACGCGCTCGGGTTCCTCACGTTAAACCCGATCTTGTGTCACATCTCGTCTCAGTGGGGAGACTAGGGTAAATAATACTTTTTGAGAAACAAGGATTTCGCCAACTGTAACTAAAACAAAACGAAATAAAAGTAGATTTGGATTCTTCTTCTTTGTAACGTGTCCCTTCAGAACGTTGGCGATTATGGCTCTCCCTACTTTTCCTGTACTTTGTAGCTCTTAGTACATTTTGACTATTTTGTTATTTCTCCTAAACCCTATTCCGCCGTCCATTTACTCAAGCCCGCTGGTTACATTACGCATTGATGTACTCTGTTCCTCTTGCCTTCAATCTGCCCTGTGAGTATCAAATTTTCCAAGCTCTCTTTCCTTATTACCTTCCCTAGAAAATTCAACTGCCTCTTCCAGATGTTAAGTATGAGTGTCCTTTTTGTTTCTATTTTCCCTAAAACTTTGTCGTTGCTCACATGTTCGGTCCATGGTATCCTCAGCATCCTCTTGTAGAACCACTATGCGCACTGTTCACAATTTGCCCTGTTTTCTACGCAGGCGTATAATGGCACGCGACTTACTTTTTGAGTACATGCCGGGTAGGGTTTATCATAGTGCTTACGCTACACAGTTGTTGCACTAAAGAGGGGTCATCGGTAGTCGCACCGATGCCAGATTTTGTCCTTGACCCGGGTGTACGCGCTCGGGTTCCCCACATTAAAATCCGACCTTGTTTCACAACCTGTCTCAGTGGGGAGACCATAACTACCCATCTCACGATGGTAAGTTTGACACAAGGCATGCGGTGTCAAACACTGTCTAGTTCCCTCAAGAATTTCTCTTTTGGGATGTCTGATGCATGGTCTTACTCATCTGCCTTTAAATGGAGAAAGAACAGTTCAGCCCAAGGGAATTGAACACTTCAGGTCCCATAAAGATGATTAGCCGTTTCCAAAGCGTAACTAAGTCTCGGCAGAGGGGTACGATTTTGAGGCACCCAGTGAGCATCGAACTTCTTATAATTTACAAGTTTAAGTGTCTAATATTATACAACAATGGGGTGTCCAGATTATCTATTAGCTGAGGAAAATTTTTATATTCATTTGATGGGCACTTCGACCTGGTGTAATGGTTAAAAGCTTGTAAAGAGAAGATCATTAACAACTGAGTAGTAATGGTTAACAAGCTTGTAAAGGCAAGATCATTTACAACTAAGTAGTAATGGTTAACAAGCTTGTAAAGGCAAGATCATTTACAACTGAGTAGTAATAGTGAAAAAGCTTGTAAAGGCAAGATCCTTTGCAACTGAGAAGTAATGGTTAACAAGCTTGTAAAGACAAGTTCATTTACAACTGAGTAGTATTGATTAACACGCTTGTAAAGGCAAGATCCTTTCCAACTGAGTAGTAATGGTTAACAAGTTTGTAAAGGCAAGATCATTTATAACTGAGTAGTAATGGTTAACATGCTTGTAAAGGCAAGATCCTTTACAACTGAGTAGTAATGGTTAACAAGCTTGTAAAGGCAAGTTCATCTACAACTGAGTAGTAATGGTTAACAAGCTTGTAAAGGCAAGTTTATTTACAACTGAGTAGTAAGTCTGATGCAGACTGAGAGCTCCATACTTTCGGCCTTGTGCCACATATAAAGCACGCTTAGTAAATTACAATTGGACACTTCAACGTGCTGTAATGGTTAGCAATCTTGTCTCGTTAGATCAAATTCCAGTTAGTAGTAAGTTCGATCCTCAATCGATGCTCCATACTTTCGGCCTTGTGCCAAATCTAAGCTACGCTTAGAAAATCTCCGGGCACTTTGACGAGATGTAATGGTTAGCAGGCTGGTCTCGCTAAATCAATTATGATTGAATAGTGAGTTCGATCCCCAGCGGATGCTCCAAATTTTCGGTCTTATCTCGGATTGAGGAATCAAATTCATTACATTCACTAACGTGTTAATACTCTTGGGAAAGGTATGAATATTCTTCTTGTCCCCCCCCCCAGCTATGGGTAAATAACAGGACAGACCGGGTTCTATAGTCTTGGATGGCAACTGGTCTACCGCAGAAAGAATTAGCAACCTACTGCTGGAAAAATATCTGCCTCGTCAGTCATGTATCGAAAGATACAGGATCGCCTAAGCGTGGCACATAACTGACTATCACATCTAAGCTACGCTTAGAAAATCAACATATCTGTGCGATAAATTTGAAATGTCTTTTTTTTATGTCGCTCAAGTCGACTGTTCATGGTCAAACTGTTAATGAAACAGAATAGATTTGAAATAAAGAAAGAAGCCCCGACGTGATTTGAACTCGTATCACGTATTTTAGTATTGTTAGCCAGTATATATGTGTACTTATTCTTTGTTTAATTATGATTAGAAGTAAGTTAAAGAATTAAGGTATATATCAGTAATGTGTGTGTGTGTGTGTAATAACGATTGTTTTCAGACGTTGTAGTCGCTGTCTTAGTAATTATACTTGTGAGTAACCTTGGCGTGTATTGTGAGTAATTGAATGAATGTGTGCTTCGAGAAGTTGCACAGATGTGAGTAATGCTTTTACACATGTGATTGAAAATAAACGAGGAAAAGACATTTTAATGAATTCACACGGGACGCGTACGTTGCGAAGCATACTTAGCGAAAAGAATTTATTTATGGATGTAAAGATTACGGGTTCAAATTTTACTCTTGACGACGAGAGATTTTTTCATTTGATGCAGATGACATTTTCGATTGAAATAATGTCATAAAAGTTATTTCAAACTGAATAATGACATCAGATTTATTTTATGTCAGTTTTATTTTTATGTCAAATTTATTTTATGTCAATGATATCAAATTTATTTTATGTCAATGACATCAAATTTATTTTATGTCAATGATATCAAATTTATTTTATGTCAATGAAAAATCAAACGATATAAAGGAAATGACATGAAATGTATAAATTTCATATAATTAATATTTTATATATATAGAAAATATTGATACTATTTTTATGAATAAAAATATTCATAAAGAAAATGACATCAAACGATTTCAGGGAAATAATATAAAACTTATTTCAAATTGAAATAATGACAGCTTAAATAAACGTAAAATTCGAATATCCAACTTAAAGGTTTCGAATACTTCTTTCTTTTTATAGTATATAATCGCTGACTAATCTTTTCCTATAATGCCAGTGTACTAATGTGGCTAGCTAGTCCCTACTATAGACGCCCGCTCAGGCACATTTGTGTTTCTTCAGCATGCACAGAATCAACCTGTGTTTGATACTACAACTATGCTGAGAGGAACTTATAATTTCTAAGAGAAAGCGCTTAATCTGGCGTGATCAGTAGCTGAACAAATTTAGTACACTTAAACTCTCGGTCACGATGACTTGGGATTTGATGCTAGCATAACCATTGACGGCTTTTGAACAGTTCTTCACTTAAAAGGCTGTGGTTAACCATTGGTATGATTTTCAGCCTTTTTCCGACGGTGCGATAGGCTGAGATCACACAAGCAGAGAACAATATGCATGTGTAAAAAAGAATTATTTGATTATTTAATTAATGATTTCAAAAAACTAAACAATTCATTAAACTAGTTAACCGTTCTCTACGCCCAGAAGATCTCGTTTAAATGCTGCTGTTTTTAACAAAAACAAACCTGAATTTTTCCAGTGGTGCAGCACGGAGCTATATTACTCGAATCATAAAAAGATAATAAGTGGAACGACAGAAGTTAATCTTTTTCATTGCCAAGTTTATTTTATAAATTTTATTTTTTGTGTTAATTTATTTAAAAAAAAAAACATCGGCTTTTAATTTAACTGATTTATTTTTACGTCTTATTAGCCTTTTGCAGATTATTTAAAGCCAGAAAATGGATTTGGATGGTAAGAACTTTGGGAGACAATAATGATTTATTGATACAAGTTCTAATTAACCCATAGTTGGAGGGAAAAGAGATCAATCCGTACATTTCCTAAGGGTAAGTGAATTCCCGACGGGAACTGGAACTCGGAAAGCCGAGTTCAAATTCCGAGGCGTTATCCATAACACCAGCCGCCCATCTAAGCTTACAGCGCTTGGTATTCCTAAGCAGTTGCCCATCTAAGTACTAGCCAGGCTCAACGTTGCTTAACTTCGGTAATCACAAGAGAGTTGATGCTTCATCGCGATATGGCAGTCAACCATAACACCTGCACATCCAAGAACTTGATATTGACGAGTGGTCACCCATTTAGGTACAGAGAAGATTCGACATTGCTTAACTCTGATGATCGTACGGGAACCGGTGTTCCGTCAGCCATAACACCTGCACGTCCAAGCACTTTGTATTCACGAGTGGTCACCCATCTAGCTATAGCTAAAGAGCTAGAGAAAGTGGGACGTTGCTTAACTTCGATGATCGTACGATAGCGGACTTTCAACGTGATATGGCCGTAAGCCAACAGCTTTCAGAAAATATGACAGTTGGATACGATCGTTGAGTTCTTGTATTTGGCGCGGGTCAGATACCGATTTCTAATAAAAGAAACTTTATACGATGGACTATATTGCCACAGGAATTGGCAAACCACATGAATCATTAGGTTTTTCCCTATCAACGCCAGCAGCAACCATCGACACCAAAAATTTGAATATGAAAGAAAATATAATTACTCAAGAGATTCGAACATTCCATATATACGCGAAAATGAAACCAAAATAATAATGAAAAAATAAAACAAAGGTCGTATCCAAAAATACATTTTCAAGACGTAAATATTTTTAAAAGAAAAATGAAAAAAAAACCAAAAAAACAAAAAACAATTGCTTAACGAAAAAATAGTAAGAGACACAACATTCGTATTGTTTTATTTTGTCTATCAAAACCGGATTGGTCACATAGACTTATATATATATATATATATATATATATATATATATATATATATATATATATATATATATATATATATATCCGCTTGATATAAGTCTATGTCTATATATATATATTGGTAACATAGACTTATATATATATATGTATATATATATATATATATATTTTTTATGATTACAAGGAAGACATTTTAACTTATTATTTATTTGTTTTTCCGTGAAAGTTGAGCTCTATTGGTTCCGATGAAGAAAAAGTGACTTAATGTTATGATCACTTCAAAGTAATAATAATAAGAAGAATAATAATAAATAAATTATTTAATTAACAAATAATTACCACGCTGTGTGCCTTTTCGGTACCGAAATCTTGTTTCAACACACGAACTGAATATTGCACAAATAACAAATAAACAAAACAATTTTATTTAAAAAAAATCTATAAACAAATTCACTTCAGATGAATGTTTCCAATTGAAAATTAAATGTATCAAAAACCTCTGTGAAACACTAAACGCTCACGTGTAACACTATCACCAGGTCAACACAGTATTCTGTAATATCCACAAGATAACGATATCATAACTAAATATATGATCACAAACTCAATGTATATATATATATATATATATATATATATATATATATATATATATATATGTAATATCGTACATTGATTACTGGTGTTAATAAAATCGTGCTTAAGAAACATAATGCTAATATCTTAAATAAACACTTATACCAGAACCAAAAAATTTTAGACAATGGAAAAGTAAAAATAAAAACAAAAATTATGTAACTGTAGAAACCCTCACAACTGTCCTTTACAAAATAAATGTCGTACGGAATCATTAGTATACCAATGCAATATCTCTTCTATTGAAAATCCTGAAAACATAAAAATCTATATAGGTTGCACAAGCTATAAGTTCAAAAAACGGTTCAACCAACATCAAATTTCATTTAGGATAAATAAATATAGAAATCAAACATCTCTCTCAAAGTACTTCTGGCACCTAAAAGAATCCAATAAAACACTTACAGTAAAATGAAATTAATAAGAAAAGCTAGAATATATAGGCCATTAAATGACCCATGTCCTTTGTACATACATGAGAAACTATTTATTACTAAGTTTATAAAAAATAAAAGTTTACAGGATCAGAGAAATGAAATAGCTATTTTTTGCCGTCATTGTCAAAAATTTTCCTTAAATAATATTTAAAAAAAATGTGACCTGGTAATATACATACTTATACTTGATATGAAAAAATAATTTTTTATATACTGTAAGTAATTCTAGTTACTTGTTTTAAAAGAAATATAGTCTATTGAAAATTAAAAACGAAAATATTTAAAATTGCAGTTAAATAAAACGTATTTGTAACCTAAACATCCCCCAAAATCTTTAAGTATACAAATAGAAAAAATGCCGTAAGAATGTTTTGCCGTTAATAAAATTAAAAAAAAAAACCCCAGACGACATGCATTTAACGGATGTCAGAATTCGTTGAAAATACATCCCTACCCTCCCTAAACTTAACCCCTTTTCCGAACGTAATAACTGATAAAGCAAAAGTTAATAAAAATGAACACGCTACCACCCCTTGTCTGAATGATTGGATCTCTCTGTATCCTTAGAAACAGTGAATTATGAATTTTTCTGTGCCTTTAAAACTCAGTAAAGTTAATAAATA